TTGTTAGATCTTCTCAAGCCAAGAAAGTATAATAAAGATGTTACAATATTACTTTTGAATACTAAGACTGAGATCCTTTTGTCGATTAATGTATAAAATAGACGAAGTAAAAGAGTGTATTAACTTCTGACAAAGAACCTTCATCTGAACAGCTAACCAGCAGATGTAAACATATGAGAATCCTTTTCAATTTCTTGGTAATCTACCAATAATAACATGATTACGTTTCCTCTTCATAGCTGAAGATATCAGGTTCGATATGAGATCAAACGTACGTGTTGAAAAAAGGTGCATACTCAAGCTTATCGTTTGATATGGGTCAAAACAAGATTATTTGATTTCTAAGTTATATATTTTAAAATTTCATTACCAACCTCGTTTTATGTCTATCTTACCTTCGCATTGTTATTATGAATCAGTTTTGATTACACAAAAAGTTTCAATCGTATAAGATGATACACTATTATCTATTATCTTCATGTTTTTCTTTACAGGTTGGTGACATCCTTAAGTGTATTGATTCAAGTCCTCAAGTTTGTGACAGACGTAGTGATTCTCATCTCCAGTATTCAATATCTTCATCATCATCAAGTAGAAAGTGGATAAAATGTGAAAACTGGTTTGGTGTTATCGGTTTAGTAAACATTTCCAGTGTTCGAGTTATTGATAACTCAAATGAACTGGCTTATTATTTGGAAGCTAGACCACGTGTCAAAGCTTTATATACATTTGATAAGGAAACTGATGAAGATTTAGCTTTATCGGTAATCAGAATTTGCATTTCGCTTATTCAGTTACTGACTTATAACTTTGTATACTATTTATTTGATAGGATGGTGATACCTAGTCGGTCCTACAGATAAATTTATGTTGAAATAGTGGCTATTGACTGCTCGTGGGTTGAGCATTACTTTAAGTTGAAGCAAATTGAGTGAGTTTGAATATGTGACTAATTGATTAGCCAATGAATAATTGCTCAGACATAGTACTAAAAAGTTGATAGACGAGGACGGTGAACAATTTCAAAGCTGCCATTTGTAAAGACTTCTAAAACGATCGTAGATAACATCATTAGGAACTTTTCAGGGCGTTACTAATTTAGTTAAATAACACTATAGAAGTAATCATCTCACAAAACACTGATATAATTCACCTAATTAATATGTGATTACTTTCATATTCACTACATAAAAGAAGAGCAGATTCGTTCTTTTGGATAACCTGTCGACTAATTATCGTGTCAAAGACCGGTGGTGATTCATATAGTTTGATGCAAGAACAACTGTTGTATGATGACAAATAAAAAAGTAGTATGTTGAATGCATTTCGTTCGAACCATTTGTAATTGGCATATAGACGAATTTCACTTTTAAATATAAGGACTTATACCTAAGTTAATTCGAATCACTACCGTGGTTATTAGGAATTTGGGCTAGATTTCAAAATAAACCTTGTACATTTTTGAGTACGACGTATGTAATAACTGCTAAGTATTAGACTGGGAACGAAATGAGTAGATCACTATGTCTGATCATAACAAATGACACTATCCTACTTTAGGACAGTTCAGAAGGTTTCCAGTTTCAGATTAACAACCAAACATAGAAACTATGGTAACTTTTAGGGCTAAAGTAATGAGGAACGTCTGGACCATGATTATCGTGATTTATTATTTTATAGTAGTCAGTATGTATTTTTTATCAGCTATGAATTGATTTATAACTATATGTTCACTAGAACCTAATTTCCAGTTTAAATCTATCATTGATGAACGTCACTCTCATTTAGAGTGAGTCAAATATCACCAGTAGAATTGAATGGTTGTTGTTTGGTCCAATAAACTAACCTGAGTTTTAAATTTGAACCACTGATTCTTTTGGACACTCGAAGATTCTAAATTTACTCAATGTTATTTTGTGGACAAACTATGGAATGCTCTACAGAATGCAAAGCGTTTGTGTCCAGCATGCGATTATTTATCAGTATCAACAGAATTATTATTTTAAGCTAATTTATCATGACATATTGAATAGAAACGAAATGAGAAGTAAACTGATGAAATATTCCATAACTAATCATCTTAGTATTGACAAATTGAGATCATGTTAAGTTCCTTTTAATTAATATCACTTCACTATGCTTTTTAATTCTTTTTTTTTAGCCTGGTGAAATAGTGTATTTATTTGAAGCCATTGATGAGAACTGGTATCGTGGTGAATCGGCTACTACTGGCAATCGTGGGATGTTTCCGGCCACATTTGTTGAAGTTATCAAACCTCTGTAAAGATTCATAAGACTATGATCTAAATTCCATGTAATTATACTTAATCTATCACCTTTAGAACATACTTTACAAATAAACATGATGTAAACACTACTAAAACCATATCATTTATATTTGCTTATGTAATTTACTTTGATATTCACTTCAATACAGACTGAGAATAAATGGAATCAATCTTTTTTGTTTATTATCCAAGTATAGGTGACTGAAGCTTTTCTCTACTATCCAATAAATACGTAGCCCTAAATCTTATTGGATAAAATGTAGGGCATTATTAATTTCATCTCATATGTTAAAGGGTCATAAAACACAAAAAGGATTGTAGAAAATAGAATCTTTGTTCTTGCTCTTTTCAAAATGATAAAGGGAGCTATGTGTACGAAATTTCTCGGGAAAAAAGTCTCCCTGCACAATTATTCAGGTCACTGAGTCACTTCATGACGGTACGCTTCAGAATATCACGAGAAGTGACAAGAGTCAAGTTTTATGGAGAATGTCTCATGTCAGGCTGTTTCCCATGTCAACTTGCAAAAACTTTGTGTTCATGTAAACTTCCTCTGCTAGAATCTTTGTTCTTGCTCTTTTGAAAATGATAAAAGGAACTATATGTATGAATATAGAAATTATTCATTCCTTAAAAGATAATGACATTAAAATCTAATTAAAACGCTCACTTCTTTAGCATAAATAAATATATTTAACACGTTTTAGATATAGCACACAGTTTTTATTCATGACTACATTCTGGTTATCGTTTTCTTTAGTAAGGTTATTTTCTACGGGATGGAGATACTGATCCCACGCCCAACCTTCCTTTACCCGGGCTTGAGACCAGTAGTAGCCGTAGTAGAGATACAGGCAGCTGTTAGATATCCTATATAGTAGTACACAGATACACTTAATGCTATAACTACTTACATGAAATATATTTTTTATTGTTTTAACATTCTACATTCACTACAAAGTTTCTTAACAATATCCCATTAAATAATTATGAAACTGCTAATAATATTCACCTTCAAAATGGTTAATTCCAAGAGCTCATAATGAACAGAATCGTTCAGTTAACTTCGCTTAAAATAACTACATCAACATGTCGAGATTGGTAGATCGTCTTGAAGTGATATACATATGTAAACATGTATATATTAATACAGTTTCTGTAAATACAAGCAACTTCTTTCAGAGTCGTTTATAAAAGTGCCATTATGCATGATGTACAGTAAATTTTCATTTCAAGTTGCTCTAACGAGTTTATTGTTAAGGAGAATTAAGTTTTGTACTATTATGCAATTACCAAATGCTAACAACTCCTCAATAATGAATTTTAACCTATTCTTTTTTCTTTAGTTTGCTTTAAAATCAAAGTTATTTGTCCGACTGCCGTAAAACCATTTTACTTGTAGTAACGTTTCTACAGATGTCTTGATTTATTATGATATTTAACTGGTGTAAATAAGTAGTTAGGTTTACTAAAACCCGTGCGTTTTAGCAAGTGCACGGGAACCTTGAAAAGAGTTGATAATCTGATAGAACGTACCATTGTTCTCCATCAGAGTGTTACTTATGAAGAAGGTATCACAGTCTGAGAATCTTATCAGGGAGTGTAGGAGGCCCGAATCAGCCTGTTTATTATCTCTGTATTGATTGGATATTTTTACATGGGATGATTATAAGAAGGACAGATAGGGAGAGGACCAACTAATCATCGGAGAATGAACGAGATACTATGGCTCATTGGCAAACGTACTTCATTGTGACCAATCTCAATTACTTCTGAAAGTAATAAATAGCATATAAAGTTTTCAAAAAACAGGTAGATCATTAGCTTAATTTATCTTTATTTGTACTTGTTTATTTCAAACTATATACATTGCATATAACTTGTGGCATGTGTACAAACTAACAATTCCGTAATCCTTGATTGCCGGCTGACTACAAATTACAAATATAATACATTCATTTGTGGTCATCTAGTTCTATCTACCTCAAATTGCACTATTTCAGAAATTCTTAATTAGTACATTAATTAGAGTACATCAAAATATCATATAATTGCATATCCTAGTGATTTAATATATAACATTGTATTACAGCTAATGACGAGTATTTGTCTACAACTCATTCCTAGTTCATAGTTATTCCATTCAGTGAAAGCAGACGATGAAGCACAATCAACAGGGAGCCTGGGATTTATGTGATTTGGCACAAGTTGCTATCCCACTATATCAAGATGATATGATGACAGGTGAAAAAGAGATCTAATGAATTTAATAAAAATAATGACGAAAAACAATGAACATTTGGGAATAGGACTTGAGAATACAGAATGGAAAGCTATATGTGAAGGAATGGTGTAATTCACAATTGAGAGAGAGTTGACGAGCTAACACACCTGTTCCTACGTAAATGAATATAAATCACATAACTCAAAATTTACATTTCCTGATTGCGTCTATCACACAAACCTTTTTCAAATTACGTGTCATGATATTTTACCCAGGTCTTTAATTATAATGTTAACACATGCTTAAGATGAACTTAATCAACTCAATGCAAATAAACGATAAGAAGTAATAAGTGAATGATGAACAAGATTATTATTTTATTCATACTACCAACAGCATCAAGCGAATAAAAAAAACAACCAGTTATAAATGAAATAAAGCACTTTCATCCAATTTAATGTTTCGTTTTAATGTATTTTTCATTATAATTAAAGCTCTTCATGTTGTTTTAGCGCATTTCCGTAATTTGTGGCCTGGCTACTGACAAAAGTATCTCGTTTAGCGATAATTTCTGCTTCTGTTAATAATCCATCCTGATAAGTGAAAAAAAAGTAAAGAAGATCAAGATCATACTAATCATAGTTCTGTCCTATCCTTGTTATTTTCATTATCTTATTGTTATGCTTTACATAATCTGATTGAGAAAAATATTTGGTTGCTCAATTGATAGGAATTAAGTTGAATCAATACTAACCAATAGAGTGAGAGGAAAAATATTTAGAGAGTAAAGCGAATTCATTATATTTCAAGGTTTCTCATCAGCTGCAAACGGTCAAAATTTACTACTAAGGGGTTTATTTTGACTGATATCTTCATGACTAATTTTGAACAAATGAAACTTAAACAAGAAGTTGAAGATTTAACACTCTATAGAAGGTGCGTTGACGAAACATTTGTTATTTGTAATGATATGAATCGTGCCTCACAGTTGCTTTACCAGTCCAATGAAGCATAGGTTAACATGGAATTTACGATGAAATATAAACATAACAATCACTTTTACTATTTGGACGTAAAAGTAAACCGAATGAACAATCGAACAATCAAGAAGACCATATTTAGAAATAAAAATATGGACAGGGAAATACTTAAATTATAATAGTTTATGTTCTTTTAGTTATAAATGTTGTTTAATCAAAATCACATTCAATGCGGCCAGAAGATTGTGCTCAACCGGCAAAATACTAGCAAAAATAGTATACACTGAAGAATGATTTATAGAAAATGGATATCCAAAAACGTTTATAATGAAGTACGGGAAAAACAATCAAAAAAGTTTTGGACAAACAACTGTTACCAGAAAACCTGTCTTTATCCTGCTCGAATTCAAAAGTGAAGAGATTTCAAGAAGGATTGACTAAAGGATCAAAGCAGAGCCAAAGAGATGCTTACCTTTAACATAACTATTTTTAATTTATAACACCAGATATCCCTTAAACCAATCAAAACTGGATCAAAGCTCTATTGAAGTCATCATCAAGTGTATTTAAGAATTTACATGTACTTTTAGAAATAAGTATATAGGAAAGAGTGAAACGAGGGTATCAACAAGGTTTTCAGAACATATTTCTCGTAAGCTGTGCCTGAAAGTAAGTGAAATTTTCACAAGTGGGATTACTAAACGTTTACTGGATAGTGGACACAACATGAATGTTTCAAAAGCTTTCAGAATAATTGACAGGGAACGTATACCATTTTTACTCCGTTTTATAAAGACCATTGCTATCAAGAGCCTTCGACATAACCTTTGCATGAAGACTGAAAGTGTGGTACACCTATCATTGCAATGAATCTAGTTATAGTTATATTTTAATGCATGTCAGTTACATAATCTCTTCATTATGTTTTATAACTTAGCTTAAAAAGTCCCAATGACATTCACTCATGACACTAACCTTGATGCCATGTTACATAGCTTCTCTGATTATCACCCATTTGTTAATAAATTGTTTTTAATTACCATCTCTTTATTATCACTTACAAATTTATCTCCTTCTCCCCTTTTTATGATTTCATTTCTCAACATATAAATACTAGTCAATCTTAACCATTAAGTTATGTATGTTGTTTCTTCGTGTTTCTGAAGTCGTTTCAAACTAAAGTTAGTCAATTATGGTATGTAATGGTATTTTTTATAGTAATGTTTCTAATGCAAATTTGTTCTGTTTGTAGCTGATGAGAAGTGTTGAAATACAATGAATTCATTTTATTCTAGAAATACTGTTCTTCTAGCTTCATTTACATTTATTAAGGCATTGAGATTTGTGAAACTTATAAATAGATTGATGTCGACCAGAAAATCACAGAAATCCAGGTGTTGTGGATATTACTCACAAGTTTGTAAGTTGTGTGTAACCGAACGTGACGTCAAAGTTGCTATGGTTGCCAGAAGAGATGAAAATTTTCACTGTGTCGAAAGTACGGCATGAGCGTAACACATGAAAACCAGACTAGGACATAGTTAAAACTTCAGAACACATCAAAAGATGCAAATAGACAATTGAGAGCTATTTATATGTATTATGTAAATACTTTGTAACCTAGTAAACATTATACATTCCTCCTGTCTACTGTCGTCTTTTACACAGGTAGCACTGGAAAATTATTTATCCTCGAAAATGACGCCGATTGAAAGTCAAACCGAGGCATTCCTCATTTTTGTTCAATGACATTACATTGAGATCACTAGTTTAAAAGTTAATTTAGATACTACAATCTTCACAGTTCCCCACACTGATAATAACCATACGCTCACTATTGACTAGATTCAGGATGGACCTTTTTGTTCTTGTCAGCTCCTGAATATCGAATTATAAGATGAACTAGATAGTGTGATAAAGCAAGTATAGTATTTTCCGTAAGTATTGTCGTTTCATTCTGTTTTTGTGTGGGCTGTGATACTGCCCGGTGCCCAGACCGAAGCAGGTGGTTTTCTTAGGGGGCCACACCTCGGGCCTTTGACCTCAAGGTCTAACCCACAAGGCAGTGGAGCATTGTGAAGGGATGCAGTTCCATGGTAGCCGGTGACCAACGATTGCTTCATACGCCATTTGTTCCCTTGGGGTACTGGAGCCCATGTGCACCATTGGTTTGGTATCCGGTTAAAGCCCCAGACACTCGCTTTTCGTTCTCTCATTTTCGTAAACAACACCCCTGCCACGAGAATGAAGTGAGTAGGACTTCCCTGGCAGAGGCTGTATACACGTGGCCGTGTGAGAGCATTTCGATAGGGAGGGCGGGCCCACCCCACTCTCGGCCATTTGGGGGTTAGAAGTTAAAAGTTACATTAATATTTTAAAAGCTAAATAGTTTGCTATTATTATAGAGCACGGTATAACCATCTACGAGCCCAAATAAAATGTCTTATTTTTTCTATCTTTCACTGTGTTTAAGTTAAATGACTATTCAAATTAACACAGAACAGAATCATAACTGCAATTATTCATCCGATCGTTCTGATTTTCAAACTACACTTACACATGTAGAGTAAATGGTGACTTAAAAAAAACTTGATTTAATTACCTTATTAGTATCAGCATGATAAAATAAATGTTTTGTTTCTGCATCTATTGGATCATAATTTGATGGCATTATCCATTCACCAACTTCTGCTCTATCCATTCTACCATCTTGATTTGTATCTCTGAATCGACGAAATTGACTTCTTTCACGTTCAACCCATTCTGCTTCAGGTTCATTTTCATCAAATGGTGTACTTTGATAAGCACGAGCTAAATCAACTTTTAAAACATAAAATAAATGTCAGAATAAAAATAGAAATCTAATCTCAACATTTGTTTTTACATAGAGTTTGATTAGTAGTATAATGATTCTCTTTATTTTTGAGATTAATACGGCATTGTAAGAATGCAAAAAATAGCAAGAACGACTTTTTACATAACTGTTCTGAATCTAAAAGTTACTTAATGTTTTTAAATGAAAAAGTGTACAAGACTGAAACCCAAAACTGAGTAGAAACAGCAATAACTGATATTTATTCACATCAGATAAAATTATTAGCCGATTCACTTTCTTCAGTTTACATCCTGCAAATATGATCTGTATTACCTTAGGAATTCAATCAATGCTGATAGTTCTTAGTATATTGAGTAGATATTTTCTGATACCACTACAACTTATAGTTGATAGTACAAACTAAATTATTCATTCGTAACTGTATTCGAAATCGGTGTTGAATATGATTCCAAGTTTTTATGAAACACAATGGAATATTTCTCTCTTAATTTAAATAAAATGTGGAGAAAACAATAAGAATATAATGGATAATGTTTAAGTGTTATACATTTGTAGAAACTATGTGTGAGCAATGCTGGAGACAAGTCTTCAGTTTCAGTTACCAGCTTTTTGTTGTTTTCTTTTTCCCCCTAAAATAATAATGTGATAGATAAGGGTGGTGTTCAGAAAGCCGAAATATTAATCAAATATATTAAATTTTCATTTTTACCTAAATATTCTTTTTCAGATACATATCCATCATTATCCTTATCCACATATTCCAGTAATTCCTATCAAAAGGTAAATAGAAGAACAAATATTAAATTTATATCCTTTAACCAATCAAAATTAAAGTAGTGGTCTTGAATTATTATGTTAGGGAAATTCAATATTTAACGTATCTTGATATTCAGTTTACGAATAGCTTTGTATGAAATGTTCACATTTATGCCTAAATTTTATAGGATTGATGGAAAACAAACCACCCAAATTCAGTAATATTCATTAAATGTTATCTTATAGTTTTTGATGAAGTTTTGTTCTCTGAGTTGGATGGTTTGGTCCAGCTTTGCACCTTCAAAGTGCAAAGTACTTCTACAAGACTGGTAGGATTCCAATTCTGTACTCACCCTGGATGGTGAGCAGATAGAAGTAGTCGAGAAGTTCGTGTACCTGGGTAGCTGCATAAGTGCTGGTGAGGGTGTGAGTGATGAGATCAATGCACGTATAATGAAAGCCAGAGCGGCTTATGCCAATCTGGGCCATCTTTGGCGCCTTCGTGATGTTAGTCTGGCTGTAAAAGGTCGGATCTACAACGCGTCAGTAAGAGCAGTTTTGCTCTATGCTTGTGAAACCTGGCCTCTCCGAGTTGAGGACGTTAGACGACTCTGTGTTCGATCATTGCTGTCTCTGAAGGATTGCTGACATCCAATGGCAACACCATGTCAGTAATGCAGAGGTTCGGCATCGTGTGTTCGGGCACAGAGACGACAATGCAATTGGTGTCACCATCTTGAAACACCGACTTCGGTGGCTTGGATATTTTCTACGAATGTTGCCCCAGAGAATTCCACGTCGTGCAGTATTTGCCGACTCTGGGACTGGTTGGAAGAGGCGGAGAGGTGGTCAGTGTATGACATGTGTCGTGCCATGAAAGAAAGCTGCAAAGGACTGGCTTGTGTTGGTCCTTCACGACTCCCTGGTTGAGGTCTGAGAGATGGTGCTTCACAGTGGCTAGAGACGTTATCAGATATGGCTCAGGATAGAAGCCAGTGGCGATCCTGCTGTAACCTTCTTTTACTTTCTTCATAAAAAGTGGTTGTGTCTTCCTTAACTGAAAGATTTCTTCCGATTGTACCTTTCCGTTCCCCCATTTTTACCATTATTATTATTAGACAACCTTACATCAATCTCTTCGTCATTATCCTCTCTTTTTTTCCCTTCTCATTTAAATTCTCATTGTTTTGTGTGGCGCATCTATATTTAGCGCACTCTTGTACCAAATAAATAAATAAACAAATATATCCTATCAGTAGGTCGAAATATGTCTACAATTTTATATTCATTCTTGCTATTATACAAAACCGTTCTCATATCACAGTTTCACCATCAAGGAATTCCCATAGATTCCACCCTTCCATCGTTTATATAATTTGAGAAATATACTCAAGCATGAAAGAATTTACAATTCTCCTAAAACTGAGGATAAACGATATAGGGTCAAAACCCACTTTATATGGCAAAATCCTTTCACTTTAAGTTAGTTCAGTTTTCAAAAAAACAAATATGCATAACGGTTTGATTAAGTTGGTGACTAACTGAATTTAACCCATCAGTGGCCATTTGAAACTAAGAATATTGAGTTCAGGTTTCAAGTTCAATAATAAGGTACAAGGATATAAAACGGAAGAATCATAAATTAGGTGAGGCAAGGGTTCTGGACCATACTGTTAGCCAAGAACCACATTAACTAAAACTTCAAAATCTGTTTTTCGTACGCTACTCTTTTAGCCCTGCGAATAAACAACACCATGGACTGGTCATTTGGGAAAAGTTCACACTAACTAATAAACGTCTATGTGATAGGAGATTCTAAAAGTTGCAATACATACGCACTTTGCTATGCACTAACAGGTTGATGAAAATGAGCGTCAGTGGAACAAACAAGGTGTGACGTCTCCTCAAAAATAGGCTAAATTGATTAAAAGTAAATTATTGATCGAAATTATTCAGACATGCTGTATATCAGTATATCAAATGCTTGAAACTACAACCACTGTTATTAGTAAACAAAGAATGTCGCCGACATATTTACACCAATAGATCAGTGGGATTTGGCTTTTGTAGTGAAGTTCTTTAACCCATATAATTACTATTTAGATGTAAGCATGGTCATTGCTAAAGTTTCATGATAATGTACTGTTCTTTAAATATTAACACAAAGAATTTATTTATTAGTTAAAAACTGTAACGCTTACATCAATAACAGCATCTCTCATATTTGGCCTGTCTTCAGGATGTACGAAATCAGTAAACTCAGTTTTATTTAAACTGTCATCTTTATCTAAATCAGCAGCAACCCATCGTCGTCGATCATGTTGTACAGCTTTTTTATATGACTCAGATGTAGCTGTATCTTTTAATCGTTCTGTAGGGATAAATAATAAATATTTAATTACTTACATAACGTTGGTTTAAAGTATTCACTGTCTTATATAGTTTTAAAAACAATTCAAAATATAAACAAAGATGGATAGTGGCTGGCAGTGGAATCCATGACGCGCGTTCCGTTGTATTCGGGATTCAGATAGGTGTCAGATGGATGTACCTGCATTTCAGATTTGATGTTCACTCTGGAGCATACGTCTCAACAGGCAGAATGTAAGCCTCATTTAAAATAATTATCTAAAACCATATTTTCCAGTTATAAAGATAAGAGCTCAGTCAATACTTACAATGATCCAGTTAAAATTCTACACAATCTCAATGTAAGTTAAGTTATACAAATTATATCCTGTGGTTAACTAATAACTAGTATAACATGATACCAAAAAATCTGAAATTAAAGAGTACGTAGACGTATACATAACAGTCAAACCAAACCATAATATTCAAAGCATATTTAGTTATCAGTATGCTAGGGAAGTTGTTGAGTCTTTGATTGAGATCATGAGTCAATGAATGATAGACCACAATTGAAAAACTGGAAGCATTAGACGACCGTTTCATTTTAGTATGGGACTCCTCAACGGTGTAAACCCACAACGCAGCACTTGGGATGCTGGCTCAGTGATTCAAAGGTTAAGCGTTCACGCTCGAAACCGAATGTCCTGGGTTTGAGTCTCGCCTGCAGAATCATAGATGAGCACTACTGAGGAGTTTCATACTGGGACGAAACGGCCATTTAGTGCTTCTAGCTTTTCAACATTCATGATCTGAATATTTAGTTGTGTTTTATCGTCAATGATCAAATGATATATTTGAGTCATAAATGTTACCAACTGAAATGAACACTGAGAAATGTAAGACATGTTATACAGAGATTGTATCATATTATTTGATCAACTATTCCACTGAACAAATATAATAATGATTCTCATGTCATTTTGAATTTAACAACAGTTTAACCATATACTGATATGATTAAATACGAGATATGAATCATATACACCTTTATCTTTTATGCCAGTTTAGTCATATTTGACTTTGGAATTATTCCAAGGGATGAAAATCATTGAAATGTATTATTGTTTCATTTGCATCTATATACATGTAGACTAATTCATTTATTGATAATAATGCTATTTCATAGGCAAAAAACAAATGGTGTACATTTTATTGGCTTATCCTAATGTATTTTATCAGTGTTTAAAACGATTAGCTTGTCAGTCTATCGATTTAAATACAGCATATGAATTTATTGTTCCTTTACTGCCTACCTAAACAGACAACCTATTCATATGTAAAAGTAACAATTGACTAGCTAACCTTTCATAGAATAGTCTCTAAAAATATATGATACATTTCAAGAAGACTGTTTCCTAACTCTATTCTCCCTTATCTATCCTATTAGATTTTTAAAGGAAGTCAAGTATTAAAATATAGTAGCTCAAATGGATGATTTTGATGGAGTTTTGTTCTCTGAGCTGGATGGTTTAGTCGTGAAACTTTCATCGTTCTTCTGAACGACATCATCAACACAGACTTCAGATAGAAGTCTGAAGTTTGTGCTGATGACCAAATCATCCAACTCAGAGAACAAAACTCCATCAAAATTAAAATAGTCTTTATTTTCACTGATTTAGTTTTTGTAAAGTCATTCATTGAATTTAATCTATTCTTATCATGATGAGATCGAATCGTCATGAATGACTAAATCAAAATTTTGGAAAACTCTAGATCACATAGTAAACCTTATAACCTTTTCCTGATTTCAATCTATAAGGTTTATGATTGTCCTCTTAGTTATAGTGAAGAAATGTTTAATTAATATCCCGTTAAAATATCTTCCAATGATCCCGCACATTAATAGACTAAGCCTTATCAGACATGTTCGCTAAGTTTTATAAAATGCTGCGCAATACTGATCCAAATGATACAACATTCAATTAAAGTCTCGAAATCAATTTCAAAATATATGAATTAGATCCTGGATACGCACTGCTGAGGAGTCCCGTACTAGGACGAAACGGCCGATCAGTGCTTCTAGGTTTTTCATATTGTAATGCAATATCAATTGAATGAGATTTCAATAGTTGAAATCATGATTCAATTGAAGCTAGACCACCGTGGGAAACGTTGAAGCACTCGAAAGCCGTTTCGTCCTAGTATATGACTCCCCCCGCAAGATTCGAACCCAGGACATATCAGCCTCGTGAGCAAGCGCTTAAGCATTAGATCATAGAGCCGACATCCAACGGTGTTAATGCATAACTTCAACCAATTCACGAGTAGTTGAGTAGTAAGTATGGCTGACAACAATTGACTAAAGTGATAAGCGTGACTATTTTTAAACACAGACATAACATGGTTTCCTTTCTAGAACTGGCAACAGTTTATATCAAAGAAAAATGGTCAATTCAGAACCTAATTTTTGTATACATACTCATTTATATACATAAGTTTAAATAGTACTATTAGACACTGACTTCTGACGAGGCCGTGGTTGCTTATCGTCGAAAAGTCTTATGCTACGATGAAATAATTAACCAGGTTTCTTTGATCTTCAAACGTAACCAAACTCAGATCCTTCTGTGACAAATCCAACCTATATCCATATTATAACTTCATAAACTGTGATTAGATGGTGGTTGGAGGTATTCGACAGGAAACCCTGGACCCAGGTTTCGTGCTTCTTGGCACTCATCAACAAGGTGTACCAGTAATCTTAAGGGAACTGGTCCTTACTAACGGATTCGATCCCGTGTCACAGCTTCACAGTCAAAGACGTTACTACTGAGCTATCCAGGCCGCTACCAACCTCCTGTAGGACTGAGATAAACTGTTTCACTTATCAATTCACATTCAATATTACACTCAAATGAAAATTAATTTACAAACTTTTAAAGTTTACCTTCTTCTGGTCCATATGTTTTTATAAGATATTCTGTCCATTTAATTGAAGATTGATTAGTTGGATTTATATCATTCCATTGACGATCTGTACTGTTTTGTTTCGATTTACTAGCTACATATTCAATCCAAGATTTTAATTCGTATTCCGTAATTTTTTCATCATTATCTTTATCAATTTTTCTAATAATAATCCTAATAAAGCAAGAAATCACAAAGTTGTTTTTTTTATAATTTTTTGTTTAACCCATTAACTTACTTTAATTTTTCTTCACTTTCATTTGGTGTAAGTTGGGAAAATTCTTTAGCAGTCTCTTCACCTAAAAATGCATTATGATCAAATTCAATATCATGACGATCTGGATCATCAATAAAATGTTCTGTATCACGTCGACTCTATTATATTTTGATTATTGTATATAATAATAATTATAATATTTAACAACATACCACTGTTTCTAAATGTGGTTTTGTATAAGTATAATGTATAAGAATTAATAAAATTATATATCTATTGAAGGATAATACCATCATCTTCATCATCAACATAAAAGGTAAAAAAACAGGGTATACAAGCAATTCAATATATGTATAAATGATTATTTATCTTAATTTAAATAAATGAAAATTTATTACAATTTGATTGGTTAATATTTTTAATGTTGGCACATAAATTTAGTGAAAAATGGAAATACACAATTATTTTGATTGGTTAAATAATAAAAAAATTCTATTGACCTTAAAAGATGATTGGAAGTTCAATTAGAATTAGATAAATGTAATGATTTTGAAATATGTTCGATTTATTCACTTTCATAGGATTATATGCATATTTCTTTATCTATTGGGAAAATAGACATTAAAAACATTAAAAATTATATTGTGATATAAAGAATATTTATTTTGTAAGTGATCGATTAAAGTTGAAATTTCATGTAAGTCAACTTGTTGGGTTATCATTAAAGAACCAATCAGGTGTAAGATAAGAGGTTCCGGATTTTGGTGCAAAATTCACTCACCAATTCGGCTAAATAAAGTTTTGGCATTATAGCTGAAGTCAGTGGATTGCAACATGATCGATAGTATTCGATCTGCACTAATAAGGACTAGACAAGCATGACATTGATCACCACCCAGTGATCAATCAATTGTGATTACATCTCAGTCCTACAGGAGGTTAGTCACGGCTCGGATGGCTCAGTGGTAACGTCTCTGACTGTGAAGCTGGGTGACACGAGATCGAATCCGCCAGGGAGCACCAGTTTCCTCAAGATTACAGGTACACCTTGCTGACGAGTGCCAAGTAGCACGAAACCCGGGTCCAGGGTTTCCTGTTGACTACCTCCAACTACCATCTAAATATCAATACATAGTGCCCGCAGTGTCGAGTCACCTAGACTGGTGGCCACATTGCAACATGATCGATGGCATTCGATCTGCACTAATAAGTACTAGACAAGCATGACATTGATCACCACCCAGTGATCAATCAATTGTCATCGGCTAAATAAAGTTTTGGCATTATAGTTGAAATCAGTTCGTGATGAAAACCTTAAATCTAATTCGTAATATTAACCCCATCAACTGGAAATCATAATTTTTATTCCTCACATTGGTTTTATAACCTTCATTTGCCCTTAGTTATCAGGTGGAGACACTCTCAATGTCAGTCTAGCGTCGCTCAAAGGTCGTCCATAAATTATAGTTTCAATTTGAGGAATTAATGCATCTCATTGAATAATGAAATTTTAGAAACTTTTCAGAAATAAAGTATCCAATAATTTTTGTTTAAATTAATAGTAAATATTCGACTAAAAAACAATCTGCATACTCTTCATTTTTCTATAGTTTATCACTTATAAATTCTTCGTCATAATTACTTGTTGTTTTTCTGATAGATTGTTGCCAGTCAACTACCTACAGATTATATAACATTGATAGACAATTGTTTTGAATCAATTCTTAATTCATTAGATTATATCACACATGGCTCTTTGTCTATGAATAGTTATGATATCACAGTGTGATAGTTTTCAAATACATGTCACAAGAAGTAACGTCACTAAATCTGCAGTATTATATATGCTGTTGTTATCGTATAAGCTTATGTGTGTTCATCGGCAATGTTTGATTATTGTGTCTCAAGTTAATGTATCATTGCATCATTTTGATCAATATTCGAAATAAGATTTGAATTGAACTGAGTAAATGTATAGAAACATACCAGTCTTATGAGTAATAGTTATGAATCAACAAAGGCTGTTACAAGAACTTATTTCATCGTAGTGTTCATCTTTTAATGTATACTTTGAATATGTAACATAATGAACAGAATTTTAAACATTTATCTATGAATTACTATTACTTATTAATACCAGCTTTGATGGGCTGTGTATACTTTGAGAATTTGAGCACTAGTAAAACGAATATGAGCGATTTGTTTCTAAACGACAAAACAGCTTAAACTATTTTGCCATGCTACAGACACCTTTGAGTAAAGTCCATAGTGAAGTCGTAGAGAGTATAGTTCAACAATGAAACAGACAACTGATTTATCGCAATAAAACTTATTCACAGGAGAATAATACCTAATAAATAAATATTATTAGTTGGTAAATTCTAGAAATAAACTGAATAATATCTTGAAAAAACTCCTCATTGAAAACTTTGAATCAATCATAGAGCCAAGTCTACATCGTGAAAATTGGTTTAATAATTTCGTATATACATATAAATATTACTGTATATTAAAGTAAAGCTCGATGAAGATCTAATCGAAAACAATTTTGTTCGCTTATATATGTTGTTCTAAATTTTGAACTAATCATAGAGCCAAGTCTACATCGTGAAAATTCAAAGGGGAACAAGGAAACTACTAAATCAATAAGGCGAATAGAAAAGGAATATATTCAAATTCATCCAGACGAAAAGAAGATAAATTCAACAAAGTAAAAGTATTAATTTTTCGAACGACATGAGAGAAATTATTCATAAACTAAAAGAAAAATGTTGCAAAAAAAGAACGAAAAAAGCGATAGAAATACGAAAGAAAAATATAAGAAAAATAATATTGATCAAAAAAAGATTTTGTGGAGATTTTATTAATTTAATAGTTGAATTCATGTATCGATTAAAGCTAGACAACCATTGGAAACCTGGAAGAAATGGACGATCTCGCGCGTGGACAGTTATCATCTAGACTACTGAACCGGCATCAAATGGTGTTAATGTATACATTCGACAAATCAGCGAAATTGTGTCACCGTCTATAAATTAAGCTATTAAATTACTACAATCTCCACATAACACCCTATCCCATAACAATAATAATCACGTGCTCACTAGTGACTATCTCCATAAGTTATTTCATGGAGTTCCAGTGAGAAGCCGTGATCAGCAGGTATTCAATGAGTCTGTTGGAAGACAGATAATTACTGAATACAATGGTAAACGCTAGCACTTTATTCAAATAGTGAATTCAACTATTAAATCACAGCAATCTTCACAAAACATCCTTCTTCATAATATTCGATATCTCAATTGAGAATTATCGTTTCGTCAGCAGATAATGACGAAAGGCATTTCAATATATAGATTCCATAGTTTATGGTAGCCAGAAATATAACTTGTGTATCACAATTTAAGGTATAACAACTTATTGAAATCACATTTAATCTCCTCTCTGTCAATGAATTCATTGTATTTATCTATAAAATCAGAGAAAGCAACAATGATTACATTCAATTATTAAGGTAAATCCGACTGATAAACCTGCTCAATATCAACCTAATTACAGAAGAATACAGTCAAACTGCAAACTGGACATTTTGGAAGAGTATAATGATGAGATCATCAAATTTTCAACAAACAAACACGTTTAGTATTAATCATAACATTGAGGATTTGTAAATGAGATTTAAACACACTGAATGATATGAGTAATTCAAACCAAAGAGTGCCAATGAAAAACACACCTCTAAATACGAATCACTTTCATATTGAACAGTTCCATCCCAAAATAAATAAATCTTCCTAACAATGTATTTCAATTTCCCTCTTCGGAAATTACTTTCCGTACTTATTTCTGTTTCATCGATATTCTACTTATTATAAATCAGTAGTCTCAGTTGTATTTATCAATTTGTGTCATTTGGAAATCTTAATGAGTTACTTCTTCACTATAAACCGAAGTTCCTTGAGATTTACTTCACTACTTTTAATTTCTACGAACAGATTTCTAAATATTTGCCAGGCTGAATCTCCCTCATGTTCTTCAATTTAAACTTGGTTTGATTTGAACCACCTACCCATGTTCTTTTAATAGTAGATTATTTTCCATTAAGTAATTCATAAACACTTGACTCATCTTTTCATCACTTCTATAATTCTAGACAGTCCTGTATTTCTAACCATAAATCCGTGTTTATTATTAAAGTTTTCCCATGACAGTAGTTCCAGCTATGTTTGCTTAATCTGAATAGTTCACACTTCAGTGTCTTCGTATTCCAACTACAATATATTTTTGGCAATAAATCTCCCCACATTCACATAAACCTATAACGGCATGATGACATTTTCTAATGTTTCACTCAATCAATCACTCACCAGTTCAGAATCTCTTCAGCCTTATATCATTCACGAGTGCTTATACATTAATTAACAACTACACTTTTTTCCTTTTTAGATTTTCTCGAATTGCCATGGGATGAAAAACTACTTAAGTATGTGAAATATTCTCTTGATAAGTTCATATTGAAACGATAAGTCAGCAGAATGTTTTTTTGCATATGAGAAATTATACTGAAGCAAATAAGATAGAAACTTTCTAAGTAGGAAATAAAATTGTCACATGGATATCTCAAACATTGAAGAATAGGGAGAAGATATTGTTCAACATCACATTCAGCTATATTAAACAAGAAATTTCCAGTTTCAATGATTCATGAAATGCTTAGAAGATGAGGCGGCAAATGTACTAATCAATAAATCGAATGGACTGAAATAGGTAGTTGTGAAATTCGCAGATGACATGACAACCAGTTAGAAAGTTCGCTTAATGTTGATGAGAATTCCAATAAACTAACAGTTACTGATTAATGTAGAAAGGAATGTCTTTATTAATATGTAAAAGCAAAAAGTAAAATGAAATACCGAAAAATTTGTAAATCGATGGAGAAGTGGAGAAAATGTGTCATTTGTATCACACATTAGTCACAGCCATGATGATGACGAACAGAGGGTGAGCAAACATATGAATAATCAAAGCTTTCACAAGTCATGTTTCTCACCATAGCTTTCGTTACATTAACGTGTATGTGGAAGAAATGCACGTAAAAAATTAGGTTATTCTAGTAAAATATAGAAAAGCATCATTTATATTTATGTCCAACCAGTTTTCAAATCCGACATTCGTTTTTCTATGTCATTTGATAAATCATTTCATGATGTCCATTTTCACTAAACACAGTTAAGTGGTTTACAATTCAGTAGCTATTCACCACAGTTTCATCACTACTTCAATCATGGATATGCGATATCACTTGTGCAGA